TGCATAAAAAGCAACCACAAAATCCTTTAGCTAATATCATACCTAATGTGAGAAAGATCAATTTCTTCCCCTTTATGATTAGGAACAAGATAAGGATGTTAAAGTTCTAGCTATGATAATGAGGCAAGAAAAAGAAATTAAAGCATATAAATAGGAAAAGAAAAAATAAAATTGGTTCTATTTGCATACTACAACATGATTATCTACACAGAAAACCTCAAAGAATCTACAAACACCTCCTAGAACTAGTAAGTAACTAAAGCAACAAGATGTAAGGCCAACCACTTTTTTTATTCAACTTCATTTCTATATATGGGAATGAACAACTACAAATCAAAATAAAAAATTCAATACCATTTTCAATAACATTTCTAAAGGAAATGAAGCATCAGGTATAGATTTAACAAAATCAGTACAAAGGATCTAAATGATGAAAATTATAAAGTATCAGTGAAAGAAATCAAAGAACACCTAAGTGGGGCCAGCGTTGTGGCTGGTTTGAGTCTGGGCTGCTCCACTTTCAATCCAGCTCCCTGCAAATAAGCATAGGAAAGCAGCAGAGGATGGTCCAAGTGCTTGGGCCCCTTCCTATATGTAGAAGACCTGGAAGAAGCTCCTGGATCATGGCCTCCACCTGGCCCAACCCCAGCCATTTGGGGAGTAAACAAGCAGATAGAAGACCTCTCTGTCCCTCCCTCTTTCTCTGTAATTCTGCTTTTCAATAAATAAAACAAATTAAAAAATGAAGACAACCACAACCGAGACATCTGGCACATCAAATGTGTTCATGGCCTGAAAGTTTCACAAATCTGTCAATTCTTCAAAACTGATATACAGATTTAGACAATTCCTATCAAAATCTTGGCAAATTTCTCTGCAGAAATTGACAAGCTTAATCCAAAATTTATATGGAAAAGACCTTAAGCTACACCAAACAATTTTGAAGAAGAAAAATTAAGTAGGAGGAATCATTCTCCCTGATGCTGAAGATTACTTAGAGATGTAATCATCAAGACAGTGTAATTATCTTGGGATAAACAAAGACATCAATGGATAGAACTGAAAATGCAGAAGTAGACTAGACAAATATGCCCAATTAATTTTTGACCAAGAAGCAAAGCAATTCAATGGAAGAGGGAAAGCTTTTTTCAATAAATGGTGCTGGAGCAATTGGGAATACAGAGGGGGGAAAAATGAACATTGATGTAAATCCCAAGTTTTATATAACAATTAACTCAAAATTGTCTTATTCGTAAAATATAAAAGTTCTAGAATAGAACACAGAAGGAAAGCTTTGGGTTTCAGAGAAGGCATGAACCAGATCAGATCAAACAAATTACAGAATGAGAGGATATATTTCCAAATCACATTAGCTGACAAACATCTTGTGTCTACAGTATAAATTTTTATAAAACCCTCAAAATTCAACATGAAACCAAACATTGGAAAGCAGGCAAAAGAGATACACAATTATTATACTCAAGAGGATATAGACAGCAAATAAATATGAATAGATGTTTCAATACAGTCATTCAGGGAAATGCAAATTAAAAATACAACGAGGGGATGGTGCTGTGGTGCAGTGGGTAAAGCCACTGCCTGCACTGCCAGCATCCCATATGGGCACCACTTCCCATCCCAGCTGCTCCATTTCTCATCCAGCTCTCTGCTATGGTCTGGGAAAACAGTACAAGAGGCCCAAGTCCTTGGGCCCCTGCACCAGCATAGGAGACCCGGAAGAAGCTCCTGGCTTCAGATCAGTGAAGCTCCAGCCAACTGGGGAGTGAACCAGCCGATAGAAGCGCGCTCTCTCTCTCTCAGTGTAACTCTGACTTTCAAATATACAATGAATTATTACTCCACATCTATTAGAGTAGCTAAAATGAAGACTAGTGCCAACCATAAATGCTGGAGAGGATATGGAGAAACTCAATCACACACACGACTGGTCAAACACAGTGGCAGCTTCTGTCTCAATTTGAAACTGAATGACCCAGTAACTACACTTACGAGCATTTCATTCCAGAGAAATAAAAATTTATGTTTACACAAAAACCTGTAGAGGAATGTTCATAATAGCTCTTTATGCATTAGTCAAAACTGGAAAATACCTTAATGTCCTTCAATAGATGAATGGCTAAACAAAACCTGTGGGACAAATGTGTCATGGATATTACTTATTCGGCAAGAGGAAAGAATGTATTAATGATAGATGCAAAAACTGGAAGAACCTCAAGGATATTATTATACTGAGTAAAAGAAGCCTACTTCAAAAGGATATATATACATGATTCCACTGATGTTAACACTCGTGAAATGACCTGATTACAGAATATACCAGTGGCTGACAGCAGGTAAGGGTGGTTACAGTTGCAATTGAGAACAAGGGAGGGTCTACTGGTGATTGGCACAGCCGAGTATCTTTCCATGGTGGTGACTGTACAAAACTACATGGGTGATAAAACTGCACAGAACTAGTTTCACACACATGTGCACACATAACTGGTAAAATCTAAGTGAACACTATGGATTTCACCAGCATCCATTTCTCGATTTTGAAACTGTACTATAGTTGTGCACAGGAAGGCTGGAGACAGCACACAGATTTCTCTGCTTATTTTTTGAGGGGGGAGGGGTTTGTTTTTGCAGCCTCCTAGGACTCTACGGCAGCTAACACAAATTTAGCTGCACAGTCCTTATTAATATTCCAACATATATATCTTTCCAAAGACTAGATATCTCAAATTTGTACTGATTAAAAATTTTCCTCCTGTATAAGCTGTAATTCTGCTACTTTAATCACTATTATTTGATGAGAATGCCAGCACAGTGATTTTCTTCATATAGTACCTTTCGATTTTTTTGAACTAAATCTAATTTACTAGTTTCCAGGAAAACAATGTTTTGTGGATTTTACTCATGAGTAGGCCATTTGTAAGACATGCATTCAGATTTCTTTCGATAATAATAACGTAAAGTAATGCAATTTTATCATGATTTGGCTTTGATCTAAAAGTGTGCACTTGTAAGATAGTAGAGCCTGTGGCAGTGGAAGAGAACACAGCTCTCCTCAGCATTTACACAGAGCGTCACATCCCTCAGACCCACACTGACAATTTTCCAGAGAACAACTTTACAGGTTCTGATGTTTATCACATTTGTTTACAATGTCTGTGTATGTCCCTTAAATGGAATTACACATGGTGAACAATTGCCACCTATCTGGTTCACTTCAAAGTAACCCTTAGTAAACCAGAGAAATGATTATTCTCAAGGAAACTAATAATTAGGCACAAATTAAGAGTTACAGATGAAACTGCCAAGATACTAAAGAAAGAGCCAATATGGATAATAGGTCTACTTTTGGTTTTCACATTCAAGAAACAGTAAAATTAGCATTCAGAAGTGAGGACAGAAAAAACTGAATCAAACAGAAAAGGTTAAATGAGTCAGAAAATTAGTTACCGAGTTATGAACAGTCAAAAACTGTTTTCTCTATGTGCTTATACAATCAGTAGAAACAAAACAGGCTGTAAGAAGTTTAGCAACATGCTGTGAGAAGTTTAGACGTACCTCAAAAAATAATACAAAATAAAATAAAAAGGCCAGAAAGGTTACAAGACAACAATGAACAGCTACAGGAATTTTCTGCTAGTAATCTTTCAGGGCCGGCATTGTGGCACAGCAGATTAAGGCTGCTGCCTGCACCACCAACATCCCTTAGGGGTGGTGGCTCATGTCCTGGCTGCTCCATTTCCAATCCAGCTCCCTGCTAATGTGCCTGGGAAAGCAAAAGATGGCTCAAGTGTTTGGGCTCCTGCCTTCAGCCTGGAACAGCCCTGGCCTGCAGCCACTTGGGGAATAAACTAGTGGACAGTGTCTCTGTTTCTCTCTGTAATTCTTTCATATAAATAAAAAATAAATCTTAAAGAAAAAGTTGAATAAGTAATCTTTCAACTGTTTTTAATTCAAAATTATTTGAGGATTGAGCAAATTTATTAAGTCTAACAGCTCTCAGTTGTTCATTAAAAAGTGTGATAACTGTCAAAGAATCCGTTTTTTTTTTTTTAAGACTTCTATTCATTTATTTGAAAAGCAGAAAGCCAGAGAGACAGAGATAGAGAGACAGAGAGATCTCTTCCATCCACTGGTTCACTCCCCAAACAGCTATAACAGCCTGGGTTGGATGAGGCTGAAGCCAAGAGCCAGAACTACAGCTGGATTTCTCACACTTGGGCCATCTTCCACTGCTTTCCCAGTCGCATTAGGAGGAAGCGGGATCAAGTCGAGCAGCTGGGACTCAAACCAGAGGTTTGATATAGGATGGTGGTGTTCTGAGTGGCAGCTTAACCTGCTGTACCACAACGTGCTCCCCTACCCCAAAATCACTTCTAATTACGAATCTATCACTATTTATGTGAAACAAGTTCCCAATTAGAGCACTAACTTTAAAACAGCAGCATCTCACTCTACTAGTAGAAACACCGATCAGGAGCTGAAGAACTATGGCCCCTGGGCCACTGCTGGCCTCTCATCCTATTTTTATCAATAAAGCTGTATTGGAACACAGTCACATTACCTAAAGCTGCTTTTGCATTGGAACAGTAGAGGTGAATAACTCAGAGAATGAGTGACCCCACAAGCCTAAAATACTTTTTATCTAACTGTTCACAAAAAGTTTGTGAATCCCTGACTTATGTAAAGAAGTTCTCTAAGAAAATTAATATTAGTGATTCTGATCAGGAAGAAAACTATGATCCCACTTGTTTAAAAAAGTATATGATCCCATGCTGGGATGAACTAAATATTTAGGATGACAAACAGTATCTTTTCTGTCAAGCCTCAAACACCATTTTAAAAGTGGAAAATGGGCCCCAACTGGGCTCAAGCTCATACTGGTCAATGAAACAAGTAATGAAAATGGCCTTAAATACATAAATATTGGCAAGTTACCTAAGATAACAGTAGAAAATGAAATCATTAAAATAACAGTGACTTACGCTGTATGTGAATGAGCTGCTTTGGCATCTTAAATTCCCCAGGATATATAGATTCATAGTAAGCAATATTACTTTCTGCCTCTGGAACTGGAATAACCATATTATCCCTCTTCTCGCCATACACCTGCTGTGCTGAGATCGCCCGCTGAAGATGATGTTCCTAGAAAGAGGGAAAACAGGTATCTGTATTTAACAAGTAGCAAACAGAATGGATATTCTTACTAAGGAAGATTTTAGAAGTAGGTCTTGGGAGCAAGCTGTTAACACAACTAGTGGTAAAAACATTTTAAGCAGAAAAGAAAGATTTCATTAGAAACATTTCCTCACCTTTCTCCAAAAGGCACTACACACACAAAACTGAGTTAAAGAGATTTCAGAGTTGACCAAAACTGTTAAACGCTTGCCCCTGCACTAAACAGATATTAGAAGACAAATAGTTAAAAACACTTGAACTTATTATATGAAAAAGGATATGAAAAAGTATTTTATTGACTGAAATTGATTCATATGGCTGTTTACACAAATTAACAGGATCTTTTCAAAGAAGGGTAGAGATCAGTATCTCCATTTTCAGTTTATGACACTGATGAAACTAAAACCAACCCAAACCCTAGTCTTCTTTTCAAGCAATAGTTTTTTGTTTTTGTTTTTGTTTAATTTCTGGGAGCTTTTCTGGACAGTAGTTAAGAGCACGTTGAGGCTAGAAGCAAGCACTTTGGAACTCAGGCTGTTTGGATTAGAACTGATTCCAACATTAAAATAGTTTGTGACTCCTGGTAAGAAATAAAGTTTTCTAAGTCTATTTGCTCAAGGTAAAAGAAGAAGAATCTATTTCATAGAACTGGCTGCAGGTTTAAGTAATATAAATGTGACTAGAATGTCTAGAATAAGGTCTGGCACATTAACAGGTGTTCAAAACAGTTTTTGGTTTAGTCACCACCCAAGAAGTTTTTACTAGTCTATGACATTTACCACCAGCCATCATAAAAATATTATTCTCATTCAAACCACTGATACTGAGTTTTGGTATAAAATTTATTAAACTATTTATATACATATGAAATACAAGTTCATGAATGGAAATCATTCCAATAGTATGAAAAATTCCAGTCCTCAGTTACCCTGTTAAGAATACATACATTCTTCCAAACGTTTTCTCTATATAAACATAAACATACATTTAAATATACAATGGATCCTACTGTATTTATGATCCTCTAGCTTTCACTCATGTGATACATCAGACCTTTCTATAAGGACACTTTATTACATTGTTTACAACAGCTCCTTTGTATTCTACTATATGCATGTACTGTAACTCATTCAATCAGAAAATAATTCATGGGAGGGGGTTCTGGAAGGGGGTGGCACTGTGGCACAGTGGGTAAAGCTGCTGTTTGCAGCACTGGCATCCCATATGGATGCTGGTTGGAATCCCAGCTGCTCCACTTCTGATCCAACTCCCTGCTAATTTGCCTGGGAAAGCAGCGGAAGATGGTTCAAGTCCTTGGACCTCTGCACCAGCATGGGAGACCCTGAAGAAGCTCCAAGCTCCTGGCTTCAGATTGGCCCAGCTCTGGCTGTTGTGGCCATTTGGGGAGGGAAACAGCAGATGAAAGACCCCTCTCTCTGCCTCTGTGTCTCTGTAACTCTGCTTTTCAAATAAATTAATTTTAAAAAGATTTATTTATTTGAAAGAGTTACAAAGAGAGATGAGAGGGAGAGGGGGAAAGGGGAAGTCGGGAGAGGGGCAGAGGGAGAGGCCTTCCATCTGCTGGTTCAGTCCCCAATTGGCTACATCGGCTGTAGCTGCGCCAATCTGAAGCAATGAGCCAGGAGCTGCCTCTGGGTCTCCCACACTGGTGCAGGGGCCCAAGGACTTGGTCATCTTCCACTGCTTTCTCAGGCCATAGCACAGGCACAGCTGGGATATGAACCGGTGCCCATATGGGATGCCGGCACTGCAGGCTGGGGCTTTGATCTGCTGCGTCACAGCACCAGCCCATAAATCTTTAAAATAAAAAACAAAACTCTGGAAACAACCTAATGTCTTACTCCCCAAATACTGCAGAATCACCCTTGTACTATTTTATACAAGTTATCTTTGTGATCTTGTAGAAGAATCTGCAGGACAACTACAAATGGAAGTGCTCTGCAGTGACAACCACACATATTCCTATCACTCCCTGGAGTATTTCTTGACATTCCTTTTGAATTAAGAATCTGTACCCATCTTATTTTAGGTGAATATATTCACAAATAATGGTTAAGTTTTTTCTTCTTCCCTCAAATGTTATTCTTTACTTACTTCCCTTATTGGCATTTAAATACTTGGCCTATTTCCTTCTCAATATTAAAGAAATCAGTTCCACATAATAAGCTTTATATTTTTCAGTGTTTGACTTCTATTTTTTCCCATACAGAAAGTTCTACCGGTCAGATTTATTAAACATTTTCTTTATGGTTTTATCATGCTTAACAGAGGTAAGTCTTATACTTACAAACCAGGACGTGTAAACATCGATTATCTTTTGTTACAATTCAATCTGATCTTTGATTCTAAACCCTTAGGCTGCCTAATGGCTCCTGGGAGCTGACAGAAACTAAGTGTACAAGTTCTATGTACGTGGAAGCAAGGAGGGACAGTGTGACTGATTGTTAATTCTATCTTCTCATACTTTGGGACAATCTGCTGTGATTTCTACTAGCTCCAAATGCCCATACATGGGGTGTTTCTGTGAGCCCCAGCTGGGTAGTTAGTCATATATATGTTCCTCTACTCTTACAATACCCTCAAAATATCAGAGACATGTTCTTTAACCTAGCCCCAGTAAGCATGCAGTCACACAAAATTCAAGGAGTGGGGGAAGCAAGGCACATTATTTTTTTTTAAAGATTTATTTGAGAGGCAGAGTTAGAGAGAGAGGGAGGGAGAAACAGAAAGGTCTTCCATCCACTGGTTCACTTCCCAAATCATTGCAACAGCCGGAACTGGGCTGATCTGAAGCCAGGAGCTTCTTCAGGGTCTCCCATGTTAGTGCAGGGGCCCGAGCTCCTGGGCCATCTTCTGTTTTCCCAGGCCATTCGCAGACAGCTGGATTGGAAGAGGAGTAGCCAGGACACAAACTGGTGCAAATATGGATGCTGGCACTGCAGGCAGAGGCTTAACTTACAAAGCCCCAGCGCATTATTCTTTTTTGCGCTTTGTTATCCAGCTCAGAGCTCAATCTAAGACACAATTTTGGACTCTCACAAATCTGCCCTGTTTCACTCCTAGAGATCCTCCTGAATACAGCACTTCAGAATTAAATTTTTGTTTTATTAGTTCTGATGTCAGCCATCTAATACAACTGGGAGATGGCTATAGGTGATAATGGAATATCTTAGTTAAAAAAAAAAAAAAAGACTACTTTATGTTTCCCCAACCCCTAAACATTATTTTTAAAAAATCAAGTTTTTTTCTTACTTTTCTGTATTTTAATTTTATATCTACAATTCTTTTTGGTCTAAGAAAAGAATCTTTTTTCCCAAAATACTGGGCCATCTGTTCTAATACCATGCACAAAATCATCTTTAACCCTTTATCATTAAAAACATCCCTATACCATAAAATAAATTCCTATTGCAGCTGGGAGTATTTCTAAACATTTATCCTCTCTGCTACATTCCTTTCTATGCCAATATTTTGTGTTTTAAACACCAAGACTCATACTACACTTATCATCTAGTAAGGCAACTATCTCCTAATTTTTTCAATTTTTTTTTTATAAAAAGCCTTATTCATTTATTTGAAAGGCAGAGTTACAGAGAGGCAGTGGAAGAGAAAGAGGGGTCTTTCATCCACTGGTTCACTCTCCAACTGGCTGCAATGGCCAGAGCTGTGCGAATCCGAAGCAAGGAATTTCTTCTGGTTTCCCACATAGGTGCAGGGAACCAAGCACTTGGGCCATCTTCCACTGCTTTCCCAGACCACAGTAGAGAACTGGATCAGAAGTGGAACAGCTGGGACTCAAATTGCCACCCAAATGGGATGCTGGAACTGCAAGCAGCAGCTTCACCTGCTATGTCACAGTGCTGGCCCCCATTAATTCTTTATCAGATTTCTATTTTCCAGATAAACCATAATAAAATTAAATTTTAAGGTATGAAATGGAACCCCAAAAGTTGTGTATTTTATAGGCAATACAGCAGGGTAGGTAAGAATACAACTTTGTAATAAAGAGTGCTCTGAGTTTACAGGCTGGCTCCACAGTCTAGTAGCTGTGTGACTTTGAGACTTGAAACAAATTTACTTCATAAAGTGTTTTACTTATTTAAAAAAAATTCATTTATTTGAAAGAGTGATAGCGTTGGGGGTTGGGGTGGAGAGGGGAAGGTGAAAGATACTAATCTTCCATCTGATGATGCACTCTCCAAACGCCCTGAACTGCTGAAGCCAGGAACCAGGAACCCCATTCAGGTCTCCCACAAGCGTGTCAGGATCCCAAGTACTAGGGCCATTATCTGCTCCCTCTCAGGCATGCCAGCAGGACACTGGATCTAAACTGTGGTAGACGGAATTTGAACCAGGTATGGAATACAAGCATCTCAAGTGGCAGCTTTAACTTGCTTTTGTCACAACACCTGTCCCTTCTTTGTTTACAACAATTTTTGCTATCTGTAAATGTATCTTATATACCTAGCATAGGGGACTGGGTTAAAACAAAATGCCTAAGATGTACTAAGTATTCCATACATGGTATATGTATTCCACACACGTTTTATTATTAGAGAAGCTTAGAAGTTCCCCATATACTTAGTTATCATTTATATTCTCTTGTGTGAATGGTGTTCTGTAGAATTAATTACATTTACATCTATTTTTTAAAAATTTCTTTGAAAGGCAGGGTTACAGAGAGAGAGAGAGAGAGAGAGAGATTTTCCATCTGCTGCTTCACCTTCCAACTGGCTGCAACAGCCAGGGCTGGGCCAGGCTGAAACCAGGAGCCAGGAACTCCATCTGGGTCTCCCACTTTTTCCATGGTTTTCCGAGGTGCATTAGCAGAGCGCCAGATGGGAAGTGGAGCAGGTAGGAGATGAACCAGTGCCCATCTGGATTGCAGGTGGCTTAACCCACTGTGCCACAACATAGGTCTGACTACTTTTTTTAAATCATGGTAA